TGAAGTTGCTCCGCACGGAAATATAATCTTGCATTAGGCACAACAAGACCTCCACTATCTTTAGGCAGTTGTACGAGGGCAAATAAATTCTGGAGTTCTTGCCCTTTCAGATGTGTTGTGAAAAAAGGGAATCTATCTGTTTAAATCAGCTGCACAGTATCCACACTGGGGAGTTGTGCATAATATATAATAACTGCGGAGCCCGTATCATTTTGATGAGATTCGTTCTCCCTACCATTGATGACGGTAATTTAGACCAGGACTTACTTTTAAGCTTAAATTCATAAAGGAGGAGCTGTAAGTTATAGTGGAGATGAACCCATACCCCAAGGTATTTAAAAGAATCCACCACTTTATTCTGCTGTGTGCATTGCGGGACCAGCAGTTGCTGGGCATCTAAGGGCAGGAGGACAGATTTGTGCCAATTGAGAACAAATCTCGAGAGAGCCAAATTTTTGTTAAAATTGGACATAAGGGACGACGGAGAGCCTTTAGTGTCCCCCAGATAGAACAACGCATCACCAGCGTATAAATATCTTCTCTTCCCTCTCTCCCCTTCGGAACTCCAAAATAGTCAGACTGACGAACGGCCCGCCTCAAGTGGCTCAATTGCCAGTGCGAAGAGGAGATGGGAAAAGGGGCACCCTTGTCTCGTCCCTCTACGAAGAGGATTTTAGCCTATATTAAAGGAGAATTATGGCCCAAGTGCTTTTGGCCATACTTCTCCTGTGGGTCGCAGGAGTGCACTTAGTTCTGTACTTCTGTGATCCAGATTTAGCCGACAGTGAGCTAAAGCTCTTGAGGCAGCCACTCCTTCCCCCTCCATAGTCTGATGCTACAGTGAACGCTGGAGGGGCAAAGCAAAGCGCTGGTGACTGACAGTCACCAGTTCTCTGCTCCCTAAGAACTAAGTGATCAGCAGTCCTCAATCACTCCGTTCTCTGTGTAGAGGTTGTGGGGGACAGATCGATGCTGCATGCATCTATAGGCAAGTATGAATGTTTGTTTATTTTTTTGAGAATCCCACACTTCTCTTTTAACTGGGAACCTCCACAAAACAAGGATTTGATACATCTGAATTTAACATTTTTACTTTCAATGCATTTAGAATTTTTTTTTTTTTTTTTTTTTTTTTAAGCAATGCATACAACAGAAGGTTTTGTGTTTTTAATTGCTGCATTTATGAAAGGAAAATGGACGCTCTTAAATACACACATTTATGAATAACTTTTGAGTTTAGAAAAAAAGATTGAGGTTAGTCTTTATAAATGTGTAATTTATCACTATATTATATTAAGAGACTGGAAAAGCTCTGGTGTCTTAGAAATAACTTATGGTATCCATATTTTGGAGTATGTGTGTGCATTTTTTTTTTTTTTTTTTTTTTTTTTGCCCCTTGAGTTTTGATCAGATTAAATCTATCTCATGATATTCAGTATATAATGTACTTGTCTCTGCATCCACAAGGGGGTGCAGGCATGCTGTGAAAACATAAAACTGATGGCTTTGCAAAGAACAAGCTCATGTTCTGTCTGTATTTTACTACAATAGGAATTATCATACATTTACTAATTCTCCGTTTTTGTATGAGAGGCTACACATTTTAATTTTACATTGGGTAATTGATCACATAGTGATTTGAGAATTTTAAATGTATAGACCAGGTCTTTGAGCAGCATGTCTGTTCTTGATTGTGGGTGTAAGTAAATTTTCAATTCATTCCTTTCATTGTTTTAAGGCAGCCATAGCCTTTGGCTAACCAATTTAAGACACCTTTCTTCGATAAAAGAACAAATGTTCCAAAAGTGGAAAGGCTTTGCAGTGCTACATATCATGATACGTGCGTCTGCTATAAAAAGCCAAAGAAACTCAATTGCAATTTTATTGTCCAGTATGATAGATTTCCTGCCACCTTTGTAGCAGGGTAGCTGTTTGTCAATGTAGCCCTCTCCTCCCACAGCTGCACCACACTTTATAAGCAATAACTGCTTCACCAGCATAATTGCACCATTCTCATTATTTTTTTTTCAAAAGTACACAGAATGTCTGTGTCTTTTTATACATTTTTGTTCTATTTTTCAGGATTTTATGCTGCTGCTGTAGAGGCAAAAAAAAAATCTGGGTTAAAGGAATGTACATATGCAACCTCATATTTATTATTTTTATAAAAAAGTGTAATATATATGATATATAGTTTGTATAATTTTGTGTTTTTATATCTTTCTACTTTGACTTTGAAGTACAGTAACAAAGTTCGTTATGATGCTTTTATATGTATACCTTTTGTGATGACCAACTTTTTTTAACATTTGAATTTTCCATAAGATATAATTTTTATTAATTTAGATTGTATGCGATACACATTTGTTTTGCTGCTTTTGCCTCTTTTAAAATATCATACTAAGCATTTGTTCTGCAATTGACGTGATTAACAATCTTCAAGCATGTGTGCCCTTTGACTTTTAAATGTCCAGGTCAGTGAACTTCTTGGCGGCTATGTTTAAGTGGCTGCATATATTTTACATAAAGATCTTAAAAAGTGTCTGCACGTGAAATGTTATTTCTTTTTTCCAATTTGCTTTAACTAAATTTTCTTAGCTCACAATAACATACACATGAAGCGGTGAACAACCCCGTGTATATTCTAAAAGAAACTCTAAAAATAAAATAATAATAAAAGTTACAAGTTACCAATTTGCTGGAAACATGCATCTCCTCCATACTCAGAGCTGGTTTCATTTTTATCTTCTTTACTGAAACCTTTTTTGTTTGACATTTCCAAACAGCATGTAAGTTAACAGATTTCATTACAATGTATGGAATGCACGAACAGTTGTATTTTGTGTAGAGCCTTGAAATTGTTGACAGTGTTCCAGCAGTGGGGTAAGGTTGGGAAGTTAAGTGAGCTATCATTACCCAAGCATCTGCAGTTCTTTCACTGGTGCAATTATTTCCATTCCTCCCCAGCTAGATGCCACTTTGGCATGATGCAAAGCAGGTTAGACTTTTTTTCTTTTTTTAATTCTAAAAAAAAATAAAAATACATAGTAAAATTTTTTTGAACCCATCCATTTGTTTTTGTTTTTTTTATGCACGTTTTCAATTTTTGTTGAATAATTCTGTTTGCTCTTCATTTGAGTGTGTGTGTGTATAGAGAGACCGGTATGTATGTATATATATATAGTGTGTGTGTGTAAATTTTTCACTAATGAAATATATAAACTTTTGGTTATTATTAAATATCAGTCTTTTTTAAAAATATTTTTTGTTCACGATCACTTTTTTTATGTACACCAGAATTGAATTCAAAACTGTTGTATGCCACTGGATACCTTATGTCACCTATACATACTGATTTGTGGGGAAGGTTAAACCAGCAGACATTTCCTTCTGGAGGGTGGTTTGTTGTTTGCTTTATCTATCTGCAGATTCTTGACCTCACTGCTGATATATCGGCATGGAGTGCTGCTTCTAGTCAAACTTAATTTCCATCTTCTTACTGAAGTATTGCATCAATAAATGACAACAAATGTGACAAAGTGACAACTTCATTGGGGAATGTGTAGTCAGTAGTGAAGCAGTTTACTATGGAAAAAAAAAAACTTATTTGTGTCATTTTTATACTTGCATTAGAGCTACACATCTTAAAAAATGTAGTTATTATTAATTATTTAATTTGCCTTTGGAAAATGACTCACGTGTCGTCTGTACTCATTTACTGAATATGTTTCTTCTTCTTGATCTGGCTGAAGTAGCATACAATACATTGCACAGATCTAGACCTTTTTTTTATCAGCATAGTGAAATTGGCTTGCCAGTCAGTGATACATAAAAAAAGCCCCATTAATAACTAGCTGAGCCAAAGTCTTCTTTTTTTTTTTTTCGCAACACTTATCCATGCAGATTAAATAACAAATATTGTCAAATTGATTCTTTAATTATAAACAGTGCACTATATTCTTAAAACTTTAGCTTTTTAATAATTTGATTTTGCTTCAGTTTTTTTGTATCCACTAACTGGGGGCCTATATTTTGCAGTAAGGGTCCTTTCTTTGAGATACTTGTACCATTACATTATTTCTGCAGAAAAATAATCTTTATAAACCGAAAATGAAATCACATATTAAGATCAGTCAAAAGATCTTTGTCTTGCTGCAAGAAAATTTATACAGTTTTAGTTCTATTGTAACATACCATGTTCCTATAAACTGGTGCCTATTTTGCTCTGTTTTCTAAAAGAAGAAGCTAAACTTACAGTTTCAGGAATTAGTACTATGAAAAATTGTTTTCTCAATTTACAGTTATGGATTAACTTTCCAGTTGCAGTAAAGATTAATGATTGTTCTTTTAGCTGGCGCATTTAAAACAAAACCTAGTAATTAATTGCAGTATAGGGACTTTAAATTACATATGCAAATGTATGTACATTCAAGAAATAAATTGACTTGTGAACTGACTTGCAAATATCCAGAGAAATATCTACACCATGGTTTGAGTTGGGTGTGGCATACTTTGTTAATGTTATTGCAAATTAGATTATATACAGTTAAGTATCTAAAATGTTATATAGAAACTGCCGCTTAATAGTTTTTGTTTTTCCCTTTTGTTTTATTGTATGTCATTATCTAGTTTGTGTTTATTTAGTAGTCATAATATGGCCACATGTGAATGTTTTGTGGTACTTTGAGTACTAAAAAGTAAGGGTTTTGATTGTTGCTAACATAAATGTCACACATCCACGAATATTAAAAACTGAAGTCCCTGGAGCTTTCACTGTGCCCAACCAGGTTGAGAACTCAAGACTATTCTACTAAAGCATGATAGAACTGTATGTCTTCTTAGTGCTCCAGCGGAGAAGGAACATAAGCTGTTTAATACTGGGTTATGCATGTTATCTCTTTGTGCCGTATTATTAAAAATCTTTTTTTCACTGCCATTCTGCTCAAATTATATAGCAAACTGCCATAAACTAAATAAAATGTATTTTTTATTCATTTTAGGTCACTTTTGAAATGCATAAGGAGAGCTTGGCTCAGGCATTCAGAGACTATGAAGGTGAACTTGATGGTGAAATAGGACCCGGACCCTCAAGCCCAATACGCACTGTTTCTGGAAGCAGCAGAACATTTGAGAGCAGGCCACAGACTCCACCTTTGGAACTCACAGAGGCACCATCCAATGTAGATAATTCACTACCTGGTGAAACTGTAGAAGAAACAGAAGAGAGACATGAAGGGGATGAAAACAATTCTCATATAAAAGAAAACCTGAAACAAAAAGCAGATGGTGATATTGTTGCAGTAGTTGATATAACAAAAAGTCAAAATGAGGTTTATGTAGATGAACTAGATATTGGTGCACAAGAGCATGCACCTAGCATTGTCCCTCTTCCAAATGACAATGAGGATGTGGGGGCTAATTGTACTGTGGCTGATCAAGCTGCTTCTACAGAGCGTTTAACAAAAGAACTGGATGATGGGGAAATCAAATCAAATGAAGATGTCTCCATAGTAGAGCATTCAGACTTGGCAATAAAGGTTGAAATTACAGTACAGAGTGAAAACTTAGACGCACCGGAGAAGGAAACTTACACAGAAAATAGCAGTGAAGTAGAAAGCACACAAGTAGAGTGTGCTAATATTTCTGACAATTTGAATGTACCTTCCAGTATAGTTACTGCAGATGCTACACCACAGGACAGTGCAATTCAAGAAGTCATTAAAGCACCATCTATGTCCATGGAAAATGTTGATTCTTCTTCAGTACCTATAGAAGAAGGCGCAGTTTCTAACAGCACAAATAGCTCCTATGATATTGGGGACCAAAAAAGCAGTACGTTGGATGGTCAGAGCTCTGATAAGAAAATTGCCAAGCTTGATGTGTCAAGTATTGCTTCTGATACTGAAAACTTAGAACTAAAAGCAAGTTCAAATGGTGAATCAGATCAACCTCTGAAAGTGTTACACGAGGTATTTACTTTTGCTTCTTGTGGACATCTGAATACGCATGCTTTTATAGCATTATTTATAGTATGTCTGTATATAGTTCAAACTATTGTAATAACCACTTGACCTCCAGAGGATTTATCCCCCTTCATGACCAGGACATTTTTGGCGGTATGGCGCTGCGTTGCTTTAACTGACAATTGCATGGTCATGCAACACTATACATAAATGAAATTTGTCTTTTTTCACCTCAAATAGAGCTTTCTTTCGGTGATATTTGATCCCCTCTGCGGTTTTTATTTTTTGCGCTATAAACAAAAAAAGCCTGACAATTTTGAAAATATATAAATATATTTTTTTTACCTATCCAATAAAAATGTTTTAAGAAATTTCTTCATAAATTTAGGCCAAAATGTATTCTGCTACGTCTGTGCTAAGAAAAAAAAAAAAAAATCCTAATAAGTGTATATTAGTTGGTTTATGAGAAAGTTATAGCGTCTACAAATGACGTTATATATACTGGAATTTTTTTTTATTTTTTATTCTAGTAGTGGCGGCCATCAGTGACTTATAGCAGGACTGCGGCAGGCATTCTGACACTGGGTGGGAACTGACTAACAACCACTGACTTCCCTAGTAACACTAATACAGTGATCAGTGCTAATAAAAAGCAATGACACTGGGCTGGAAGGGGTTAACATCTGAGGCGATCAAAGGGTTAACTGTGTGCTGTGTGTGTTTTACTAGGGAGACATGCTGCTTTTGTATCTCACTGCTGTGCAGAGAGATAGAAAGCAGCATGTCCATGCTGACAGGAGAGAGATCTGTGTGTGCCCTGCCGATGATCAGAGTCCTGGCTGGGACCCGGTGATTGCCATCCCCAGCAGACTACCTCGAAATGCAAATCACGTATATATACGTGATTTTGGACAATCGTGCCTCCCCATAGCAGTACTTCTGCTATTGGGCAGAGGGCATGCTTTTAAAGACTGCCGTAGACTGAGGGTTGCAGGAAAGAAAATCGCTCAATTACCTCATTCACACAGTCAGTGTTGATGGGGGAATCCCTCCCGCGGAACCATTGTGTTCTCCCACCACCCCCAAGCTGGGAGAACCCAGTGATTACTGCTAGTAGCTATAATAGCCCCTGGCAACAATCTCATGTAAAATCCAACAGCCTGGTTTACCTAAGTTGATCAAGCAGCTTGGATACATTCAGCCTGCCTAACTTAGTTCAAATCTCAGCCGGTCCCTGCTGAACTGGATGTGATTCAAAACTTCAGTCACTAGAACCAGTGTTCTGCTCATTGAAAATCGAAAGTAAATAAACTTTATTTCTAATTTGAAGGGGTCAGCCCAACCAAAAGTATTTGAGTTAGAGTAGGATGCTTGGCTGAGCTTACCTGATGACTTTTTTAGACTCCAGTGAACTAAATCTTACTGGTATTGTCCAGGGTCGGCGCAATGTTTTTTTTGTTTTTTTTTTTTTCCTTCCTTGTTTCTTCACGAATGTAAATTTTTTTTAGGAAAATCTAACAGGAAAAAGTTGGACCCCCCCCCCCAGTTGCTGCAGCAGATGTGCAGGGCTGAGAACACAAGTGTCAAGATCTTGTCTGTAACTTCTCTGAAGCTTAGTATACACGATCAGAAAATCATACAAAAAATATTGCTTTTGATGTGGTTCATGACAGCAAGCTTTGCATTGCAAGAGAAATGATCTTTATTTCTCCTGCAAAGCAAGGTGTAACAATAAAAAAAAAATCACTGATCACCCCCCCCCCCCCCCCCCCCACTGTTGTACAATGTTACTATGGTAACATTGTACTATTCTGATAAAAGTATTAAAGTCTAATAGACCCCAGATTTCTCAGAAAAAGAGTACCTGCCTCTGCCTATTGCTATCACAGGGGATGTTTAGATTCCCTGTGATAACAATAAAAGTGATAAAAAAAAGGGACTGTTTTTAAAAAAAAAAAAAAAAAAAAAAAAAAAATCAAAGTTAAAAAAAAAAGTCACCCCTGCCCTTCCCCCCCCTTCCCGTGCTCATTATTATTATTATTATTATACAGTATTTATATAGCGCTAAAAGGTTTGCTCAGCGCTGTATATTATGAGCAAAGGCGCTGGTCCTGTGTTGGTGTGTAAACAGATTGCACCATGCATGTGAGGTATCTGTGAGCGTAAGATCGAGGGCAGTAATTCTAGCACTAGACCTCCTGTGTAAATATTAATTGGTGACCTGTAAAGGCTTTTAAAGCGTCGCCTATTGATATTGAAAATGTATGTACTTTGTCGCCATTTCACAGGCATGCGCAATTTTAAAGCATGTCATGTTTGGTATCCATTTACTCAAAGTAACCTCTTTTATATTTATCAAACAATTGGCAATATATTGTGTTTTTGTGCATTAAAATTCTAAATAGTGTATTGTTCCCAAAAGATTTGCGTTCGAAAAATCACTGCGCAAGTACTGTGTGACCAATACTGTGTGCAAGTACTGTGTATCCAATAAGCCTGAAGATGCTTATTGGATTTTGGGGTCCTGTACTTGGCTAGACTGCCAAAATGTCTCACATATGGTACCCCCATACTCGGGAGAAGTAGCAGAATGTATTTTGGAGAGTAATTCCACATATACCCATGACATGTGTGAGCAGTAAATCATTTAAGTGACAATTTTGTGTAAAAAAACAAAACAAAAAAACAATTTTTGACATTTTCTAAAAACTTGTGGTAAAAAAATAAATTCTATTGATTCCACATGCCTCTCAGCATATAGTTTCGGGTGTCTACTTTCCAAAAAAAGGTCGTTTTGGATGGTGGGGGCATTCTATGCCCAGCATTGGAAATTTATGCCGCACATCACTCACTCTTTTAACTACATGAAGATCAAGCCTTTTCTGACACTTTTGTTCACATGAAAAAAATCAGTATTTTTTGCTAGGAAATTAAACCCCTGAACATTATGTATTTTTTTTTAAAGCAGACACCCTAGTGAATAAAATGGGGGGTACTACAATTTTTTATGGCACATAGTACAAAAACAAAATCAAATTTAAAAAAAAAAAAAAAATACACTTTTTTTTACTTTTAATGCACAAAAACACAATATATTGGCCAATTATTTGTGATAAAAATATCTGTAAAATACTCACCATGCCTCTCATCAAATTCCTTGGGGTGTCTACGTTCCAAAGAGGGGTCATTTGGGGGGGGGGGGGGGGGGGGGTTGTGGTATCTTGGCATTTTAGGGCCTCTGAAACTGTAATAGGTAGTGAGGAAGTGATATGAGGAAATATGCCCTTTGAAAGCTCGAAGGTGCTCATTGGATTTTTGGGGGCTGTATGTAACTTGGCATTTTAGGGCCTCTGAAACTGTAATAGGTAGTGAGGAAGTGATATGAGGAAATATGCCCTTTGAAAGCTCGAAGGTGCTCATTGGATTTTTGGGGGCCTGTATGTAACTAGGCTGCCAAAAAGTCTTTCACATGTGGTATCCCCATACTTGAAAGAAGTAGCATAATGTGTTTTGGGGTGTTATTCCACATATACCCATGGCATGCATGTGCAATATATCATTTAAGTGACAACTGTGTAAAAAATATTTGTCATTTTTGAAAAATTTGTGGCAAAACTTAGTGTTCAATGGACTCAACATACCTCTGCAAAATCCTTGGGTTGTCTACTTTCCAAAAAGGGGTCATTTGGGGGGGCGGTTGTACTGCCCTGGCATTTTAGCACCTCAAGAAATGGATTTTTGGTTGACATTCTGTCTATCATTTAAAATACACCTATGATAAAAATTATAGACCCTTCATTTCTTTGTACGTGTATTAGGATTTTTTTTACCAAAGACGTAGCAGCATACATTTTGGCCTGCATTTATGACTAACTTTGAGTTTATTGGATATTTTTTTATAACCAAAAGTAAAAAATATAATTTTTAAAAAGAAAATGTTACGTACCACCGAACAAAAGCTTTATTTTGTTAAGAAAAGGACTTAAATTTCGTTTGGGTATAGAATTGCACGACCGCGCAATTACCAGTTGAAATAGCGCAGTGCCGAACAGCAAAAAATGGCCTGGTCATGAAGGGGGGTAAATCTTCCGGAGGGCGAGTAGTTAAGGAACAGAAACCGATTGACTTGCCAGTTTCAGAAAGAAAAAAAAAAAAATCAAACTTCAGCTTTGTGTACTAATCCTTTTATTGGACCATTTGCATTCTGTACTTGCTTATATGCATCCAAATAATGGGAAACGCCAGGCAAATACAATAATAAATGTGGTTATGTATTTCTTTAAAAAAAGGTAATTTTTGTTTTTGTGCTCTGCAAACAAGAGTTGCTGCCCGATGATCTGGCAGAGGAGAGGGAAGCACTGGATGCTGTCAGATGATATCATGTTGGTATACTGTAGGTCTTCCTCAAAATACAAATGTCATATTGTTATTGTGACTATATCAATGATCACTCTGGGAATGCCTTCATATGGTTGTGTCCTTAATTGTATCCTACTAAACTAAATGGAAGCGGTTAATGGGTTTATAAGATATTTAGGAACAGTGGGTAGGTGGGTCTGTATAGTGTTTTTTTCTGTCTTTCATAATGCAAGCAATGCTTCACCAAGTTGTTTAGAATATTCATGTTGCCCATATTGTAATTAACTTGGCAGTTTTTTTCCAGTAGTGGCTCTCTCATACTAATGAATCTTGTGGTATATCATTGAAAGTTCTGCCTGGGTTCACACTTGAGCTTTGCCAGACACCGCTTGTGATTTGCACAGGAATCGCTCTGCATTCCTGTGCACATCATATGAAATGTCTGTTCGGTGTGATTTGAGCGATACATTTTGTTTGGCTCAAATCGCATTGTGTCTGCACCAGAATGGTGAATCACATCTCATGGGTGTTCACACACATGCAATCCGATTTCTTATGATCGCACTGTGTTTTGCAACCTGTTTCGAGGTGTTGTCGCTGCAGATTACATGGATGATGTGCGATTTTCAATTTGGTGCAAGAAATGCACATGATTCGCTGCATTTCCTGTATCGCAACAAGGTTAACCAGTGCTCAAGGTTTTCTATATTTCTTTTTATAACTTAGTGCTGACATGTACTTTGCCAGAATTTAATCTTGGACATGCTTGGTTAGCGCCTTGGTAAATTTGTTATATACAGTTACTACGGGTCCCGAACACGACCTTTTCTCCTCTCCTACAGCTGAGAATCCGAAGCATCTGCCTCCATCCTCTGATGGCCAACACCAGTGTATACATCCCACACGTCTTTGACAAGCCTGGGATCACACAGGAGCTGTGGAGAAATTGCATGCAATTTTTTGTGGTGCTAATACATTTTGTATTAAAATGATTAACAATAAAGTGTAGCATAACAGACTATCTCATATAAAAAATAAATATTAAACAATTCAAGTCCTATGAAAAAGTCTTTTATAACTCCACTGTGGACAGACTGCCACAATATACACTCCTCCAGCTGACCCTCTCATATAATATGTACTATGGAAAACCGAAAAGTGGAACCATAGTGCTCTCTATAAAACAATTTATTAGCGCCCAGATTAAAATCACTTACAAAATGTAAGCGGCAAGCCAGCATGTAATGTATAAATAGTAGGCCTACTGAGGAAGCCCGAATCTGGGGCCTAACATGAGTAGGTGGAAGGAGCTGAGCCCTAGAAGTTTTGAACTAATGACCATCTAGGAGAGCGGGGTGGTGAACCATATAATGAAATTTATACATTACATGCTGGCTTGTTTCTTACATTTTGTAAGTGTTTTTAATCTGGGCGCTAATATAAGCGTTTTATAAATGGGGAGCACTATGGTTCCACTTTTCTGTTTAACATAATACATATTATATACGTCAGCTGGAGGAGTGTATACTGTGGCAGTGCCGGGCGAGGAGCTGAAGGAAGACCACAGAGGGTGTACACAAGTCTGTCCACATGTTGAGCGCATAATGACTTATTGATGAGGTCATAAAGTGAGGTGAGCAGGTTTTTCACCTAATGGTGGTGACACGGTTGGCACTGATGAAGAGAGAAGATTTATCTTATACACATTGCACAGTGGTGTTATAAGAACTTTTTCGTGGGACTTTAATAATTTAATATTTATTTTTATATGAGATATTAGTCTGTGTTGGTACACTTTATTGTTCATTTTGGTACAGGTGTTGTGAAGTCATTATCAGTGGTTTAGCAGCAACTGTTTTAGAGCACTATCAAATTATTTTATGGTGTGATGCGCTGATTGAATAGGGGTTTACATACATTTTGTATTGATGCAAATTGCAGTGCAAAGTATCGGTTTGGGTATCGGGAGCATTTTCACGAGTATACAAGTATACCTTTAACAGTGCATCCTTAATATATACAATAGTTTGTAGACTCTTTCACACAGACTAAATAATACACTGATTTGGGCTATTTATACCAAATGCAGCAGAATACATTTTGGCCTTAAGTTTATGTAGATAGATTATTTGTTTACAAAATTTTATAACCGTAACTAAGAAAAACAAGTTTTGTTTGTTTTTTTTTTTTTGTTCAAAACTTCTCTTTTTTGTTTCTGTAGCAAAAAAAAAAAAAACAAAAAACAGTGGTGATACCATGAAAAGAGAGCTCTATTTCTGTGAAAAAATATAAATTCAATTTCAGTACAGTGTTGCATGACTGAGCAATTGTCAGTTACAGTAATGCAGTGCTGTATAGCAAAAAAATGCACTGCTCATGGAGGGCAAGTGATTGCACACCGGTGGTTGCCAGTCAACTAAGAATGTGACTTCAAGAGGCAATTAGCTGCACTAAAGTTTTTCAGAGGTTTCGCAACACATGGGACTATTGCTTTTGGCAGTTTTGATTAGTTTTTTTGGTTGGTAATTAATTTGGATAACTATGATTTCAACTTTTGGATTTTGACTTTACAGACTATTTTGTGTAAATTAGCTAGTTAACAGTGTAAGGGTATAAATACTTATGCAAAGCACTGGCATTGCAAAAACTCTCTAGGACATCTTTCTAATTACGTACAATGCAAGTGTAACTTCTTGGTGCATGTGTTGTAAATTAGTCATTCACCTGCAGTGAAATGTTTATTGAATGGAGCAGTCGCTGCTTTATAAATATGCCCATACAGCTTTACCTATAGTGTTTTTTTTTTTTTTTTTTTTTTTGTGGAAATAGAACTTTTCCAATGAATCTCAACACACCACTACTGTTTTGACATAAATTTTAAAAGCTGGTTCAATGTTTTGCTGTGTTAATAATGCTAATTACATTGTGTTATCTTTTAGGATGCTGTTAAGCAGCCAGCAGTACATGAGATGAACCCATCGATTTCTCCTGACAGCCAGAGAAGAGATTCTAGATCTACAATGTTTCGTATTCCGGAGTTTAAATGGTCAATGATGCATCAGCGGCTATTAACAGACCTTTTATTTTCAATAGAAACTGATATCCAAATGTGGCGAAGGTATGTCTTTTATAATCTATATGGGTAGGATATTACTTTATTTTTCAGTGTGTTAGACATCTACATTATTTTGGGTACCTTCCAAATGCCTATATAACCATTGCTTAGTGGATGCCTATAGGTCCAGTACATGTTTCGGGATCCGTTTTTGTATTTGGCATTTTTGCATTTGACACAGTATCTAGGTTGAAATCGAAGAAATAATACTTGAACTTTTCAAATATACATTTTTGGAAGCAAGAAATGCCAGTATGTTTTGATGAATTCTTCAGTTCATAGACTTAAAGGTTCCCACTGACATTAGATTTTTAATCTATGGAATGATCATTTGCTTTTTTTATTACACTCATAAGCTATGTTGTGTATATCACACAAGACTTGTGAATTTCTTTTCCCTTTCTCAGGAGATAGTGCTTACTGAATACAATGGTACAAGAGTTTCCAGACCATCTTGAGTTTATGGTCACTATCCTGCTGAAAAGTCTTTAAAGTAGAACGAAACTCTTACTCAACATTAACTATTTTTAAACTTTTATGCTGCTAGCTTTACAAATTACATTAGTGTCAAGGTCCTACCTTTTCCCTGAGGTTTTGTTACTCCATGTGCTGGCGTCCATCTTGGATTCTGCTGTGCATGTTGGGAATCCTTTTATGCCTTCAGGTCTCTGAGGTCCATCCCCCAGAGGGGTGTGGCTGATGACATATAAGCCTGTGGCCCGCACATGCTCTTTGCACTTGTGTCTTTGTCTTCCTACAGCTCTGTGTATATGCTCGTGACTCTTCTGGTATTCTGACTCGGCTTGTGATTAAGACCATTCTCTGTGTTTTCCTTCGATCTGACCTTCCATTGCTGAACCCGGCCCGTGACCTGTGATTCTCTGTCTACTATTCTGTACCGTTTTGTCCCGTTGTTGTCGACCCAGCTTGCCTGACTACGCTATTGTCACTCTCACCAGCTACACGCCATTGGCGGCGGCCATTACCGCAGCCGGGGTGTCTCGGGGGCCGTGACCTGGTACCTGGCTGCGTCAAGTCCATCCCCACCATCAGGGGCCCTGGTGAAGGGCAGCCTGGGACTTAGACTCCGCGCCCTGAGGGACTTCGGTCTGTTGGTGGGTGGTTGTCGTCAGCCAGTGCGTTACCCTGCCACTAGGCCTACCTGTCCGTTCCACAGCCCTGCCCTGACAATTAGATATTATACCTCTCTAAAGTATTTACTTGTTTACATTTTTTTTAACATTTCCTTACTTGATTCCTGGTTTCTGGTCTGTGCCAAAATCATGTCATATATCCCAGTAATTTTCAGGAGAGGAGGAGGGGCTTTCTCAGCTAAGCACACCCTCCTGCCTGCATGCTTGAGCTAAGGGCAGATGGATTCCAGGAAGTAAGTGCTACATGAATCATCTGCCATACTCAAGATAGAGGCAGTTAACAATGCTAGGGGTGTTTTTTGAAAGTGATTTATCAACCAAATAAAGCATGGAGCCATGGGTGGATGGGTGAGTTTGCTTTGAATATTAAAAATGATTTGAATATTCTTTTCTGTTTGTGATGCTCAGATACAGTTTAGCTCTGCTTTAACTCTTTCAGACTAAAAAAAAAAAAATTACTCCATCCAATTTTCTATCAGAGGGAGTTTATTGAAAGAAAAAAAGGAGAAAAAAAAAAATCCCAAGAGTAACATGAAAGGCAAAAATATTAAAGCGAGCGGGCCTAAGAATTCCCAAACTGGTACGATTAAGAAGTATACATCGCAGGGGAATTTGACTCCAGAAAGAACTCAGGGAGTAAGTGCAAAAGTGATCTGGAAATAAGTCTGGATAATAGCCCAAGACTTTCCCTAGGACCGGTTTATAATAGTCAACAATTAATGGAAGGGATAAAGCTGAAAGAAACTGAAAAAGACCTGCAAATACCAAATAAAAAGGAAATGGCGGAGATGTTTAAAAACTTGGAAAAATCAATAAAGCAAGAGATGGGGACAATTCGGAAAGAAATGGGGCAATTGCTGACCAGGGTGGAGGAAACAGAGGAAAAAGTTAAAAATCATGCCCAAATTATCCCAAAATTAGAGAAATGGATAATAGATAGCAGGAAAGAACAAAAAAGGCTGCTTTATATGATGGAGAATCAAGAAAATAGGGAAAGGAGAAACAACCTTAGAGTAAGAGGAGTCCCAGAGCTGCTACAGGGGGAAGACTTAAAGGAGATAATTGGCAAAATCTTGAACTCCATAATGGATAGATCTGGTGTGGAGACATTCAAATTGGATGGAGCCTATAGGATAGGGAGGTTCCAACAAGAAAAAAGCTCAGAAAAATCAAGAGACATAATTGTGAAATTTCATAATTATGGAGATAAAGAAGAGATATGGAAAAAGATTAAAGGAAAAACAAATATTCCATATGGAGAGAAAAATATCCAAATTTTTGCGGATCTAACAGCTGGGACTTTGAGAAGAAAAAGATCATTGAAACCTCTAATAGAGGTGCTGAAAAAACATAATGTGCAATATAGATGGGGTCGTGCAGCAGGTCTAATCGGATGGATAGATGGAGTCACTGCATTTTTAAGATTTCCGGAAGATATGAAAGACTTCTGCGATAAATTTGGACTGCAGAGACTAGAGATACCAGGATGGGAAGTGGAGGAGGGAGAGTGATGTACTTTTGGGGAAAATGAATGGCAGCTGGTTATAAAAGAAAATAGAGAGTCAATAGATAGTGGGACATTGGGGAGGAGGGGGGGAAGGGGAGCGGTACATGGATGGAGCTGAACCCCAAGATTGGGATCAAAAGTGGGATCTGTTCCACAAATGATTCAGAGGCAAAAAAGGCCTGGGGGGGGGGGAGAGGGAGGCGGGTGTGGGGGGGGAGGGGGAGAGTGTGGGGGAAGGTGGGGGAAGGGGGGTAATAGGGGTAACACTCTGCGGGATAGGAGGAGAAAGGAAGAGGAAGGGTAGAAAGGAGTTAAGAGGAGTAGGGTAATATGGAAGAAGTCCAGTTTATACCTTATAATGTAAAGAGGTTGAGCAGTCCTGGTAAGAGATTTAGGTTATTTAAAGAACTGCAACATAGATCTTTGGTGGTTTTCTTGCAGGAGACACACTTAGAGATGGAGTCAAAGGTTAGGTTGAAGACTAGATATTTTCCCACATGGTACTATGTGGATTCACCAATTAAGAGAGCAAAAGGGGTTGCTATAGGCTTTGCAAAGAATATTAGGTTTGAGGAGAAGAGAATAACGGACCCAGAGGGAAGGTTTTTGTTCTTGAGGGGTAAACTGCAGGAAATTGAGTGTACAATAGCTAGTATATATTGCCCAAATAGGAAACCGATGATATTCTTGAGGGGAGTGTGTGTTGAAGAGACTGATGGATTTCAAAAGCGGCTGTCTGATAGTGGCCGGAGACTTTAATGTCTGTATGGACCTGCGGATGGATACTACTTATGTGAGGAGAGAGGAGAGCGGGTCCATGAGATTATTGAAGAAACTGATGCATGAGTACCAATTAGTAGATATATGGAGAATCGGGCATATGAAAGATAGAGACTATACTTTTTTCTCACATGTACATGAGACCTATTCTAGATCGGATTATATATTGGTAGAACATCGATTTATAGAGTCTGTAGTAGAAGTAAAAATTGGAGGAAGTTCTTTATCAGATCATGCCCCTGTTGCAATGAAGGCAAGATGGGGTAGAGAGGAGAGAGGAGGTTTTGTTTGGTGGATGAATGAGGCACGTCTTCTGGATGAAGAGATCGACTGGAAGATCGAGATGGAAATTAAATGATTTTTTGAGGAGAATGAAACCAAGGATGTATCGGTTGCAACGGTGTGGGAAGCCCATAAGGCCTATATCAGAGGATTATTCATTGCAATAGGGGCAAAAAAGAAAGGAGGGAAAAGATTAACAGACTTCTAAGTGAAATATTTGATCTTGAATAGGCCCATAAAAAGAAAATAACTAAGGAGTTAATGCAAAAAATAATAAAGAAGAATTAGAAAATGTAATGGAGGAAGAAAAAAGAGTCTTTAATAAAGTAATAAGTGAGAGGTATAGATGGGGAGATAGGCCGGGAAAGTATTTAATGAGAACTCTAAGAAAAAAAAAAAAAAAGTAGGAAATACATAGAAAAAATAAGAAATCCCAAGGGTGAATTGGTGCACTCAACTAGAGATATCTCGGGAGTATTTAAGGACTACTATAGTAAGCTATATAATACCCCATGATATTTTAAATAAAGCTGAAATAGTAAATAGAGAAAAAAGAACATACTTAAAAAAAAAAAAGCAGGCTTATCAAAATTAAGTGAAATACAATTGAACGCCTTAGAATCAGAAATTACGTTTGAGGAAATAAAAACAGCATTAAAAAGTACTGCGGTGGGGAAAAGTCCGGGCCCAGATGGGTATACGGTAAAATACTTTAAAAAATATAAAGAGTTGTTAATATCTAAACTGAAGATATATATGAACGCTTTGGGAGGAGAGATGGAAATAAGGGAAGAATCTTTGCAGGCTAATATAGTTTTAATCCACAAGGAAGATAAGGACCCCTCTCAGTGTGCAAGTTATAGACCAAATGTAGATACCAAATTGTATGCAAAGGTATGGCAAATAGGCTGAAGGAGTTGATGCCGGAGTGGATACATGGGGATCAGGTGGGGTTTGTCCCGGGGAGAGAGGGTAGAGACAACGGCTTGAGATCATTCTTGCTTATACAGGAAGGGAAAAAAAGGGAAAACCACGGTGGTACTGTTGTCAATTGATGCCGAGAAAGCATTTGATAGAGTGAGTTGGGGATTTATGATGGACTGGGGGATAGAATGAGAAAGTGGATTGGAAGGTTATATAGAGGGCCTACAGCCGCTATTATGGTTAATGGAAGAAGATCAGAGCTTTTTGGAATGTCAAATTGAACAAAAAAATGGATGCCCACTAACCCCATTGCTGTATGTTTTATCACTGGAGCCATTGTTGTCTACGATAAGGAA